TTTCTGCTTTTTTGACTCCAGTAGACCATCAATGGCCAAAGCATCGACTGTAAGTAAAACTTCACTGACATAAATTCAGTCGGGAACAGACAGACTCGGTGTCTGTGGAGTACATTTCTTCTCAAATAGAGCCTAAACCTGTGACCCAGATCCCTTGAAAAGTCCCTTGGCTGCTTGAGGAAGCGGGGGAGACGGTGCTCTTGCCGCCTGAAATGACAAACAGCAGGCAGGCGGTGGCATGCTTTGCTTGCCAAATACAGCACTCCACGTTCAAAAAGTGCTGACAGCGAAAACATAGACACTGTTATCCAGGGTGTCCCTACTCTGCAGTGAGATGTTGAGGGGAAAAACTCCTCCTGGCAGTAGACATAGGCCTGTCTGTATTCAGCGGTCGGGGGTTTCTACTGCCGCTATCGTGGAAAAATCACATAACTGCAGATTTAGGGATTTTCTTTTTCTTATTTACACTTACGACTTTCTGGATGGATGGGCCAAAACCCTTAAAAAATAAAATCATTGGATTCATTGATAAATCATATAAACCATCTTGGCAAACCTCTTTTTTATATATGCAGGTTTCATCTTACAATAGTGACATACTCAATGTAGTTCCCTAGTGTCGTCCCCTTTCTCTGGTGGTTTTACTTCAGCCAAGAATACCGACTCAATAGCAGCCGGTATTCTTGGCTGCATTAAAAACTGCCCACTACAATGATGAACTGCAAAGGGCTGCATTCATTCATTCAAAGTACAGACCCTTCCACCTTTCCCAGGGAAGCAGGCTCAGAAAAACATCTGACCTGAATTAAAGAACGCATGGAGATCCCAAGCCTGGCTAGTTTTCTTTCACTGCTTTAAGAGGCGTATTGTAATTTCAAATTAAAAGTTAGAGTTAAGCACTATGGAAACCAGTTCAAATAACAGTGTAAACCGGAATGCCAGCTGGCCACACTTGTAGCTGCCAGCACAAGAGGCATGCACCACAGGGTTTGGTCTCGTCTGGATAGATTTGGTAACTGAGAAGGAGAGAAACATTTGAATTCTTCTCAACTCTTCATGCATATATGATTTGAGACAACATAATAATGCCTGACCTTGTTAATGTGAGAAAACTTTACAGCTAAAAGTGTCAATCAAGTGAAGTGGGAGGACCCTCTTTATTTTGATCACAGTCTCCTGAGCAATTGAGTTATATAATAGGTTCATGATAGAATCAGAATGTTTAATTATTTCAACTTTTGTGGAAGACGGCTCTAATAGAATACCCATGAGCTTCAGCTGCCATCTCTAAGGGGATACAGAATGTGTCTGTTATTGCAACAGTTACTGACTGCATCTTAAATTGACCCAAAATCCCAAACTGAATTATTTCAAACAGCTGAAAGCATTATCAGGTTTCTACAAAGCAGAGTATGTAGCTTCAGCTCGAAGTTAGTGGCCCACCCAACAGAATGGTACGCTCTGTGATTAGATGGTTCTTCTCTCTGCATCTTAGGAAATTAAGTTGACTTCTTCCCTGCAGTTTTTGTGTAGAGTATGCAGGGTTGTACCTTTTGACATTTGATGAAAAAAACAGCTATTTTCTATTCCAGATGCTAATCTTCAATTGGAGAGACTCAAGCCTTAGAAGTGCTTCAACTGTCAATCACCTCACATCGTCTTTGTAAAAAATGAACGGGACGTTTACTTGCAAAACCCTGAATGACAAAAAATAACTATTCGCACTTCACTACTTTTTAAGTTTGCTATTAACAAACGTTCTCAGCCATCTATGAATGAATGTGTGATGTAGGCTACACTTCACAGTGCACCTGAAAGGCCACCCAGAGTCTTTCCTGTTTTTAAGCCCCTACTTTAAACTGTTTGTCTGCATCATAATCTAATGAATGCACAATGCACCTCTGTATCTTCAACCCTCCATGCATGTATACGTGGAAAGCTGCACACGTTCCTCATGGGCCTGTGACCCCTATAACCCCAGTTATCCCCCTAATCTCGTAATCTTTAGCAGAACAGCAGCCTCTGTGATCATTGGCAGGTCTAGTGCGTTGCATACCTTCCTCCAGTGGCGCTCAGGGGGGATATGTGGGAATATCTGCAGGTAATCCGCATCTCCTACTAATATTTGCAGCCGGATTTTTAGCCCACCCATAAGCCTGTGCTTATGGGTGGGCTAGGTGGGGGTGAAAACATGGCCTTCTACGGGGAAGTGAAGCCAGACCACTTAAATAAGACATATGATATAAAGAGGAGCTCCTTGAGATGACCGGTACGGTTGGGAAGCTGAGATGTGTCTTTGGCTGAATGTGCAGTGTTATACAACTGTCACCTCTGCCAGCGAATCACAGCATAACAGGAAAAATACATTGTGAACACTGTAGCATGAACAAAGGCCATGTCATTGCAATGAAACAAGCTTATATACTTTAGTTAATACGCCTGCAGAAAAGGTGCAGCTACAGCTTTATTGTGATATGCCTGAGTCTGTTTGCTTAGACAGGAGAACAAAATTTATTGAATGTACTCTAAAGAACGCCGCTCTATTTAATACACAGACTATAAATCCTGTAACAAATTACAACTCTATCTCCTACAAAATATATTTACATACTAAATTGCTTTGAAGAATGACTTTTGGAGGAAACACAATGCCGTATGTGGTTCATGTCCTGCATCACATGTTCAGCAACTTAAGACACTTGGGTCATAATTGACCTTTTCAATATTTAACCCAAACTAAAATGTAACAGAGGCAGCATTATGTTTCTTACAAAACATATTTGCTGAATATTTTTAATGAATTTTTAGGGAATAGTGCTGTAACTGAAGGCTGCATTGGACTTTTACCAGTCATCATAATGAGTTTCATATTCTAAAATACAACTAATATCCTCTGTAAAATAATTATCAGAGAAAAAAAGAGAAACTTGTAGTCACAACCAGAGACTGCGGTGGTGCATTTGCTTTCAACTCATTTCTGAAACCATACAATGCATTTTTGCAGTGAAACTGCAGATGCCATCTCTACCAATGGGTTTTCTTAATAACTGTGAAACCTTATAGCCATGTGGCAAACACATGAAAATGACATGTGCGATACATGTTATTGTAACATAATAGCCCTCAGCGGTGGAGGAAGGAAGTGTTCACATTATTTATGACCGCAACACACACAATGTACATTTCAGAGTTCGTGCCCATCCCGTTAGCCTTTTAGAGACTTTTGTCCGAATCATTTATTGTGACAGATGGTTAATTCACACAGCACTGGCCCTCACTGGAAGACAGCCCCCTCTGATATCTTATGGAATAATCAGCAGCCGCTTGCCAAGTTTAATACGACCTGGGACCATAACTCTCTCTGCAACTATTACTAAACGTGCCAGACAGGTCTGGCTCCCCCCCCCCCCTCAGATCGATATCAAATTGTCTCGCAGACCATCAGCAATCAAGCGCGCCAGAACGGTGAGCGCTCAGTCAAAGGTCACAGACGGCCTGGCTAACTTCGCCCTCAGCCAATGTGTGACCGCTCTTTCAAAGAGTTCTTTGACAAGTTCAACATCTCCCCACCCCGCACCACCCCCCTCCACCTTCAACCCTCTCCCTCCCCTCTCTCCTCACTGTTGTTTTCCTTTCTCGGCCGTCCTGATTAAACCTGGAGATCCCGGCGGGAGGCTCTGATTTCCCAGCCCTGACTGTTACTGTAGTGAAGTCAGTGCTGCATATCCTCACTCAAGGCCAGTCAAACCCACTGGCTATGGAAGGCTGAGTAATGAATGAAGTTTGAGCAGTGCAACGTCTGCAGGGTGCAGGCGTGTTGTTACTTTGAACCTGAGCCTGTAAGGTCCTGTTGTCTTTTCATGTTGTTGTATGAATCTCTGTCAATATGTCAGTCCAATACAAATGTTTGACTATTTACTGCCCTTTTCTGGCAGTTAATAAATAATATACTAATGCTTTATAGATGACCTATAAGACATTTATAAGAACAGCCTTTTTGCTTCCAAGATTAGGATAATCTTGCACAGCTCATGCTTCGTCTTTTTAGCTATAGCTCTTTACTCAACCAGGAAGACCACTCTGATGGATTGAGCTTCTACAAAAAAAGTTGTGGGACATCTGGACCAAAATCCATTTATTAATAACAACTTAATCACATGAACTTGTACAGTGGTTGAACAGTCCACTGGATCCTTCTGATGAATTAATGAGTGTATAAGACAAAACAAGTGTCTGGAGAAGGATAGAAAGTTATTATTACCTGATCTAGAAAGCATACATATTGTTATATGTATTATTAGTCTTATTGTTTTATTAATAATTAAGTAAAACAATGTATCTAACTAAGTGAGTGTGTTGCGGGTAGAAAGAAATAAAGACAATTCCATCGGGATGAGAAACCAACATGAGTCAGTGCATCATTGGAAAATCTATTGCTTTTTCCAAGTTTGAAAGATGACCCCATACCTCCCCACTACACACGCTGGCGCCCACACACTCCAACAACAAAGAACGTGATTGCCAAATTGCAAATGATGGCAAGACATCATCGGAGGATATATAATTATTCACTGAATGCAACTCAACTTCAGCCTAAGGTGGACATCACATTAAACATTGATAGAACTGGATTTCTGCATTTGATAGTGCAGCTCTGTGCAGCTATGAGGGAAGCAAATTGCATTGCCCGGAGCTACTGCTGCATGAATGGAGCCTTTTTTTGTGATCACAGGGAAAACTTCCCCCGGGGGACGTGGAATTTCAGAGGGTTTTCCCCCTTAAACATACACGGGTACACTTTAAAAGGTAAAAGGTAATTTTGCACTTCCTATCCTGGATAATGCAGTTTAAACTGAATGAAACGCTCCCATTCATTGCAGTTTGAACTCAAGCAAGATGTGCATTTAAAACGAATGTTTTCAAGCATTTTGTTACGTGTGTGAGAGAGTTTATGTTCATGCCTTTTTCTAAATGTCGTAAAACAAACAATGACAACTCACCGTTTTGCTCCTTTACACTTGGGGGGTGAAATTTGCTGACATGACTTGATTCAGCTTCCGAGCCATATTGTTGGAGAAGCGATGCAAGAAGGAATATGAATGGAAGGATCATTTGGAATAGTGGTGGTTGGCGATCACAAAGCGCTGTTGACGGGATGGTTTGTATCACCACACACGTGCGCCGTTGACGGGACACCAGTGCTGTTTCGGACACATTTGAAGAGGGTAAATGCAGAGTAGAATCCACATAATCTTTATCATCAGTCCTTCTGGAAAAAAAAGTGAAAGTTATATCTCCCTAAATCAAGACAAATCCTCATCCAAAGCTCGCAGACCTCGCCGCTTCCGCGTAACGAAAGTGCGCACCTGTTGGTTCTGAGATAAGTTGGTTACTGAGTTGGACAAAGCTTTGTTCTGTGTAATTATAATCCTGGAATTAGTTGTAAAATCGCCCGTATGTAGACATGTCATCTATGGTACGAGATCCGTAGAAAAGCACAGATGCATTTTGGCTAAAGCGCGCGTCCACGGTGCGTTCTTGACTCCGTCTGAATAAATCCCCGTTGATCTTTACGCATTACAACGAAAGCTCACACAGAGACAGCGAGAGAGTGCAGCAACCTGATACAGTCTGTACCCAGAAACCATTCGCAACACCGAGACGGGTTCTGTTGTCCTGCGAGGTCTTGAGTCATAACTTGGTGGAGACTGAGATAAAGTATCGCTGCTCGGTTGGGTTTGTGGAGACTGCCAACAGTCGGCACAACAGGTGCTGTACATAAAGTACAACTTCCCAGCCGAGGAAACTCCCCGGCGTGTTAACTATTCCGATGCTGCTGCCTTGTCCAATGAGGTGTTTCACCCACTTTCAGTTCCACGTGTTGCAAAGAGTTTTACATGTTTCCAGTCCAGGAAAAGTGTCTCCAGATAACTGAGCCGCTCAGCAGCGTCTGTTATTAAGAAGGAAGTTGATACAATGGAATCATTAATATAACTTTACAGACCGTTTCTTCCACACTGGAAAAGTAACTGTTACACTCAAATACCAGATAGGAGTGGGCATTTTTGAAGCTCAATACAAAACAAATAAATAAAATAAAGAGTCTGATACTGTTAAGAGTTTTTTTGTCTCGTTCTGTTTTTTTGTCAGAACAACTTCCCCATGAATTCTGAAATCATTAAAAATGATCAGTGAATGTTACAAATTTTCTAAGAATACATTTTTTTTCAAATTGTCAAATTCATAACATATACATGGTTAAACAATGAAGTCTGCAGTGCAGAATCACATCAGGAAGCTTCGCCATTCAAAAGGAAACTTTCCATAAGAAAATATGCATAAGTAAGCTTGTTGTAACCATGGAGTGATTGTTTAAAGCCTTGATTCATTTTCCCTGTACAGAGAGATGAAATATGTGTGCTCACACTCCAGACTCTTCAACACGCTGTTGTGCATTCTGCCTAAATGTTTAAGAGCTTCTCAATTTGTCATATCAAAGCAGAGACACCACTTGGAACAATACTCCCTCCTGTTCCCACTTTCCTTTCTCCCCGGCACACTGTTGTACCTCATCAACTGCGTTTCATGTGGTTCCTCCCGTTCTATTGTATGACAAACTCCGCAGTATTCCCCCCAGTGTATGGTATGTCTGGTGCAGCACAGACACAACAATCAAAGGGGAGCTGGAGACATATTGAACCCATTGAGCCAGACAGATGATGCAATGCTGCAGCAATTTACCCCCCCAGTCTCACATAGCTCAGAAACTACCACCTCAAAGAGAGTTGAAGAGCAGCCATCTCCCCAGCATCAAGGTATGAAGGAAGGTTTTGTGGTTTTAATCAGAGTTAATGTCTGGGAAAAGAAGGCACGGGGCATCGATACAGTCATTTCATACGTGTGTTGCCCCCGTGGAGAGGGGCATATAGAGGTCTTCTTGTGCCTGCTGCAAGGGCCAAGGCCCTTTGTGTAAAGGAGGGTATCACATTCCAGCCCTGCAAGGGCCTGTAGCAGATGTCAGCACTTCACAATGTGGAATCCCTCTCTCTTTCGCACACTCATAACACACTCATTCACCCCTTGATGTTTTGTCTGTAAAAGCTGGGTATTTTGTCTCGTTGTCCACATTTGATTGCTGCTTCCATGGTGGTGTCTTGGGAAGGCTTTGATACAAAGAAATATAATAAACAGAGGAAATTAGAAACAAGGCAGACCTTTTGGGTCATGGCTAACACACAGAGACATGCCAGCCAGGAGGGCTCTGCGTCCACCGGGCAGGCTGGAGATGGAAATGTATACAATGGAGAACTCACAGTTGTCGGCTCCCAGCTAAATCCCATTAGACTTCCTTGCCTTTTCGGGACACATAACTGTCAAACAAACAAATGCGCTCTCCCAATCAGTCCGTGTTACACAACGCACCTGTCACTTTGTCTGCAAAACACCCGTTTTGTTCCAGGTGATATGAAGTAAAAATCAAGGGAGCGGACACGTTTGCCACATCCAGATCGCAGCTCATTATTACATCTTGAAGAAAAAAAAGGGGCTTTGAGATGACTTCCTTTATATGGTCAAAACCTCCTGCAGCAGCAGCAGGAGCTTTTGCTGTGTGGTCCTGCGTTGGAGGAGTTAAAGGAAATGTGCCAACAGAGGAATTTAGAAAGAAATGACTCACATTTTCTCGGAATTTTTCACAAATTTAAGTCTTTTACATTCATTGTTATGCCTGATGAGTTCTTATCATTGAATCACCGATACAAGGTTGTGCTAATGCACTAAGGGTGCTGTGTCCTTCTGCATGTGGCCACACTTCTATATCAGTGAGCCATTCTATGAATATTAAAGTCTTCTGCTTAAGTTTGAGATCATGGTGGTTGCTGTAATTGCCCCTGGCTGCACTTGGCTTTGAAACCAGAGCCCCCTGGTGGTGCCCCTCAGAGCTACAGTCAGTCAGGCAGTTGCCCCTTGAACACTTGTTGAAGCCACTGTGGGAAATGTCTCAGTTCTGGACAAGACAACATTTGACTTTACTCTAGTCTCGTTTTAAGGAAAGCACATTATCATGTGATTCAAATAAATTCTATGGTAAAGTGTTGTCATCCAGATGTGGACATAAAACAGTCTTTAATACTATTTTATGTCACTTTATGCTCTACTAAATATTTTTTTTGACAGCTACTGATAATCTGCACATCTCGATGTATTCTGCTGTTGCCTTTGTTGCACTCAACTGTAAATTGGTTACATTGTTCGTTGGTGGTCGTCTGTTATTTACATTCAACTGGTCTCAGTTACATAACCACCTATATGATCTCAGATATTTAATTGTTAAGTAGCAGTAGCCAGTGGCTACTGGTGGGGCAAGTGAAGGTTTTCTAGCAGCAGCCTATATAGCACTGAATCTTGTTTTCTCCTTTTAATGACACCTATTAGTACACTGCATCTATTTTTCTCCACCAGAAGGGCACTCTAGGGGGCACTTCATCATGTTTTATCTACCATAGGGACATCCAAGACGGCACAGTTGCTGTATTTCCTTCGAACATGGCGCCACTAAGAGGGCGGTAAAATCACTCCAAATACAACAACACACAAGAGGTGTTCTCAGCTAAATATATTAAATTATATTTAAATTAAAATGACCCAATATGCACATTATCACCTTTAACAGTGTCACTAATGTCACTATTTTTCATGTTATTGGTTTGTTAGTGCTGATGCATTTACATGAAATCATCGATTTAATGTTTTAGCTGGTTAAGTTGGAGCCAATTGTAAGTGTGTTTAATACCACTGGGGTGTTTATTCAGACATTGCATCATATCTTATCACCTGATCTTTTTTTTTTTTTTGCATGTAAAATGTGAAAAGTAGCTGTCAAATGAATGTGATGGGGTAAAACATATTTCATAAAGCATAAAGTGACATAAAATAGTATTAAAGCATGTTTTGTATCCACATCCTGGACAGGTAATGGAAATTAAATTAAAGTTAAATTAAAATTCAAACAGCCCCCTTAAGTTTTTAATTGTACATTAGATTCCAGTTTATTAGTTAATTATTCTCCTAAATCAAATCATTTTTATACAAGATATGTAATGTGACAGAGTATGTTATGAAAAGCACTGTGACCGTGCTGTTAACAGAGCACAGAACTTACTGTACAGTAGTACTTGTACGTGTGGCCCCAGTGGACCAGTACTCACTGAATTCAGCGTGTCAGTGTTGTGCTCTACCCATTAATTACACCAAAACACGGATATTCTTGTCTGATGCATTTATCCTTTACATTTCTCTGCAGCCAGTGTTTCACAGCAGAACCTGAACTGCACTTGTTAATTTTAGGATGCTGTCTGACTCTATTTGTTATTGCTCCTGGATGCCCTGAAAATGAAACGGGAGTCTACAGTATGAGAGTACATGCTGGGAAGAAAACAACACATTTATGTGTTTTCTTATGATGTTGGAATAATATAAACATTGAAGAAAGGAAAATCAATCACAAGATGTATTGTATTATAATATGTGTTTCCCTGATAACAACAGAGGAGCTATTATGTTGCAAGGAAATCACTGTTTGTTTCATATACATTTCATTTTTCATACTTTGGAAAGATCCTCTTGCTCCTTGAGGATTCTCCTCCTTCACCAGCCAAAAGTCCTCCCACTGAACATCTTTCTGGCTCCATGCCGCCATCATAATCTTGGTTAGCGTTGCACTTTAGAATGCACACTGAGTCTGTGCAGTTTGGATAGAATGCACTGTTTTTTTGGTTGCTAATGTTGTATATCTGCCTTATGTTAAAGTGCTTCAGTTGTAGCACGTATAATATGGCTTTGTGTAACAGGAGTGAAAACTAAGCTAAACAGTAAACCTAAATACTATTGTAAACCTTGTTTTATATAAAAAGTTGAACATCAAAAATGTAATTTTGGGCATTGGGTGCTTGTAGGAAAAAAAACAACCTAATCTATAATTCATATGAAGGATGTGCTGGCAAGGAAAAGCAGTTCATTGTTGAACTCCCCTTGAGGATCAAATCCCATGATCAACATTTTTACAATACTATTTACAAATAACAAGCATACATCTCCACGTACTACTATTTTCGTATTCATTCCTTTACCCGAAACAATGTATAATGGTAAAATTCATCAAATCCACTTTGCACACAAACCCCATCACTCCTGCGGCTTTTTGTTCTATCTTTATCCCTCGTGATTTCCATTAAAGTCTCTTTCCCTTTGGCAGCACGGATGACATCTGCTTCTTCCTCTTCCAAGGGATTTATCT